GAACCTTCGAGAATATGACGTGTTACTAGCGTCACGTGATCCCGGCTGTCGTAACAGTATTATTTAAGACCGTGAACAAAGATAAAGAAATAGTTGTTTAAATTCACTATTATTTAAATATGCAAAATCATTAATAATTTACAACATTAATCATTTCTAGTTGCCTCATATCTTGTGACATGTAAATCTGCAATGTTTAATTACTTTCCACAAGATATTGTATATCACCCAGATACTTTTTAGACAAATGATTGAAATTATTAGCATATTTCCAGTCTCGGGTAATTCATTTTTATGGTAAGTCAAAGTTAGAGTGACATGTTTGCTTTCCAATGCAAGTGATTTCTTGCCAATTACATACGTTCAGAATTCTAGACTTTTACTAGTAAAGCTGTAGATCAGCGTTTCTCAAACTGAAGTCTACAAGCCATGTACGAAATTTCAAAAAATATTTTTGTAAAATTAAATTTATATGAATTAAAATATTTAATTTTGGAATACAGCTTTTCACGTACACGGTTTTTTTTTCAAGATAAAAAACATCGATACATTTGGGGTCCGCCAAAAATATTCAAATTAAAGGGAACCCTTGGTTACTAAGGTTGAGAAACGTTGCTATAGAGTATCTTTAAGTTTAAAGAATAGAAGATTTCATTTATCAAGTTGCATAGGCGTCGCGTGAGACTTTTGATTGAGTAGGCTATTCTGTCACATATGCTGTATAATATTTTTGAGTTGATGAGAATGATGCTCCTTAAGGAACACTTTATTTAAGGATGCTGTTTGTTTGTTCACGACAAATTTCCCTTTGGGTGGTCTGAGATGAACTATCTCTCTCCACCAATTTGAGGAAGCTAAGCTTTCTCAAGCTTCCTATACGCGCCGCTCCCGGAAGTAACAAGTTTTGACATGCCAAATAATTGCACTGATATTTTATATATCAATATACGGGATTTGGTTGAAAGCGCGGGAAATGTAACAATGTGACAAAAGTATAAAATTGGAATTTAATGTAGTATTTGCAAAAGAATTCCTAAAATATTTAAGTTTAAGCTGTTTATTTTAGGTCACAGAAGTCCTGTTATCTGTTTATGATATATGTAATTAAAATATAACGTCATATATTTACGTGTATTCTGAAACATCATACACTACCTTAAACTATCAACACAATATTATTCCAATGCAATTGTAATCGTTACTTTTTTGCGAAAGTGAGTTCCATTTTTCTAGATGGCGCATGCATTTTAATGGGGTTTGGCGAAAGAAAGAAAGGTAGGGAAAACGCTATTTTTCTTGTTAGTAAGAAATTAGAGTAACTTACTGTTATTTAGAGTTTTAATAAAGCATATATATATTGCCAAGAGTGATTCGTAGTTTACTTTTTTGCGTCTTGTAGGTTTATTATTTGGGAAAGTTAACTATTTAATATAATTTTTTGTTTTTCAATTACAGGCCTTCGTGATTTTTTATTTTCAAATTCAGTACAACTTCGTTTCAGTTTGAGGCAAACAAAGTTAACTTAAACTTTCAAACTTAAACTGATAGATTACTCAGTTATGTTACAGTATAGCCTAGAGTAGAACGACGAAAGTTAATGAATTGGGTGTGAGAGTAAGAAATAATATTTACTAAGTGGTACTATTATTAATGTTAACAATAATACTAACAGTGAATGAGTGTGTAACGCGATTGAGTTGATTTACGAACGTAAGCAAAGCTAAATAATTCAGTATCATATTTAGAATTAAAAGTTAAAAGGAAAAGACTGACTCTGGCACTTAGAAGTTAAAAAAAATTGAGAACAATAAATTAAATAACACTTCATTAGGTGAATCCTTATTCATCTGATGTGTGACCTGGTGCGTTGTAATTTGTATACCCTCATCCTAAAACTTAGGATGAGGGTATAGAAGTTACGACTAGACCAGTGGTTCTCAAACAGTAACCTTGGGACCCCTTTTAATTAAATTTTTTTACGGACCTCCAAACCTATTGATAAATTTAATTTTTATATTTTTTATATTCTATAGTATAAATAATATCTTTTAAAATATTTTTATGAAATTGTGGACATAATTTGTGAATCCCCGTGGGTTTCCTGACATCAGTTAAACTTGGAGAATCACTAAACTAGGTAACAGTGTGTATGACAGTATTATGATTAGTATGATAATAGCCTACTACTACCAATAGTACTACTTTATTTAGTGATACTGATATTATTAAATCTTTGTAACCCCCTTCCTTCTGCCTATGCATTATAATTTTATATGGTTTATGAACATTGGTAAAAGAAATTACAGCAATTGTTCTATGTATTCCTAGTATCGAAACTATAGCATGGTACTTGTTAATGGAGATTAATACTTGGCCGTGTATTCCTAGTATCGAAACTATAGCATGGTACTTGTTAATGGAGATTAATACTTGGCCGTGTATTCCTAGTATCGAAACTATAGCATGGTACTTGTTAATTGAGATTAATACTTGGCCGTGTATTCCTAGTATCGAAACTATAGCATGGTACTTGTTAATGGAGATTAATACTTGGCCGTGTATGCCTAGAGGAGAGAGTTTGTGTATTTACCTGCCATGTAGGGTTGAGCAGTTGACCAGTCAAATAAGCCACATATTTATTTGTTTATTTTATCTTAAGTGCATATACTGATTTTTATTTGAGGTAAATAATGTAAATTACTGGAAAAAAAAAAGAACCAGTGATGCTGTTTGATATTATTACTAGTAAATATAATAATATTACTAGTCATTATATCAAACAGCTATATATGTTTTCAGTGGTAGTAATAAAGACAAGGGAGAAAATGTCAATATATTTAATACAGATTTTAGATTACTTGACCAGCCAAAAATACAGTCGTTTAGCTGGTTGCTTGCCAAACTTGATTCCACGATTAAGGTGATTTCTTGTAGTTCATAAATAACACAAATTTTTAGAACCCAAATTAATTGCTACTTCCTATTGTATTTTAGGTATTCAAAATGCAAAAGACATATTGTTGGTTGGGGTGGGTGGGTTACAGCATTCCCCTCAGCTTGCTACACAGAATGAGGGAGATACCCCCCCCTTTCACACCTGTGGTGCTCAGCTTCCCCAGCTATGCTAAAAACATCCTTGTCAAACCATCCTGCATCCACCAGTTGTTTACTAAGTATCAAATTGTTATTAAGATGTATTCAAAAGTTTTATTTCTTAACCTATAATATGTCTTTTTTTTCTTCATAAATTTGAATTCAAGGCAACAAAAGGTTCAATTCTTTTTGCCCCTTTAATTACACTAATAGCTTCTTAAATACTTCAGTCAGTTCTCATCATCGAAGGTGTGATTAGTGTAATGATAGCCCTGAAGAAAATGCCAAACTCGTGTGTGATGTAATACCATAGCAGCATAACATATGATTAGATGACAGAAGGTGTGTTAAGGTCACCACACAAAGAAACTACTCAAACCTAAATAGGACCCCTCACATATATATTATTGTCCAAGAAAAACTTGAGTTCTAGCTATCAGTATACACTGTATCATCTGGTAAACAATTCCACAAGTAACTCAACAAGGAAAAGGATTCTGTCTGATAAACAGACAGTTTTCTACACTCGAGAGAGAGAGAAGTTAAAAATCTTCATTGGTTACAATATCCAAATCAGCAGTAATTCTGGTAACCTGTTTCTGTACATTTTCAAAAAACGTTTTATCACAGTGAGACAAGAACTGAAAGCAGTACTCCAGCTGTGATGATTACAACTGTAAAAATTAAAGTGTAGTTTATTGTAAATGAGAAGAGAAAACTAAAAAAATGTTTGTCTATTATACAAAAATGTGTACTATAAATAAGAAATAACTGTTTGAATGAATTCTGATAAATATTGGATTCATAATGTTAGTTCTGCATGTGACTATGTTCTATTAGGTTGAATAACTTGAGCAGAAAATTATTCCAAAAAACTGAGGTTGGTTAGTTGTGTATTGTATCAGCCATGCATTGGAAGTTTTTAGATGAAAATAGACTGTGGTAGTAAAATTTGCCTGCTGTAGTTACATTGCTTGTAGTATTTAACTTTTCTTTAAGGGTTTAGTTTAATTTAGTGGACAGGACAGCCTAGAGGGATCAAAAGGTCGACTGATGTCCTTTAATGTTATGTAAGTGCAGGTTTCAGTGCCTTTAAGCTGCACTTTCCACTTAAGCTAATAATCAAAATGTAATCAAAAGAGGTAAGATCCATACTTTCAGTTTAACGTTACAAAATTTAACGGTTTATTTACATTCAACATCCATACTTTCAATTTAATGTTACATAATTTAATGGTTTATTTACATTCAACATCCATACTTTCAGTTTAATGTTACAAAATTTAACGGTTTATTTACAGAGTTCATTTCACGGCTACATTACTACTTTTTTCTTTGATGATAATTTTGTATAATAATTTTTTTTAGTTAAAACACTTCACATCTGAACTGCAACAGTGGCCAAAAATTACTGTTAATAGTGAGGCTAGCCACCTGATGAAACCATGCATTCTAACCTTTGTAAGTAATAACAGTGTGTGTGTGTATTTATATGTTTATAGATAAACATGCTCACATCCATATATGATTAGCTGTATTCATTATTGGGTTTGTTTTTATTTCTGATCTATGTAGGTAGTGTGGTTTTGAACACAAGTTTATTTTAATTTGATTGTACAGTGGATGGTTGGTTGGGAGAAAGCAAAAGGTTGTTAGCAACGGAGTCTACTCCAACTAGACCCTTCTCACTTGAGGGGTCAATGCTTTGGTCTTTACTTTTTCTTATTTAATTATATAGATGGGACATAATGAGTAAGTTATTAAAGTTTGTTGATGACATTAAATCCTTGGGAACTTCTAGCTGTAATGAGGATGTTGAGAATGACTTGGATCAATTGGTAAGTTGGACACATATTTGACTAATGACCTTGTATTATAGGAAGTACAAGGTAATGCACATAGGTTATTATAATTTAATACCACGTGTCTAATATAGATGGGAATAAGTCATTCGAGCCGTTGAAACAGTACTCTGTTGTTAGTATTAAAGGTGATTTTTGGGTGTGCTTGTGGACATTTTGATTACAAGTCAAAATAGGAAGTATCTTTCTGAACAAATATAACCTACAGACAACAAGGGGCCAGTTGATCTTTTGAGGATCTCCTTGCACACTTACCGTAAGTAAACGCAATACTAAACCTGTCCTTTACGTGACAGAAAATCATTGATAGCCCTCCTAAGCTCCTGTAAAGTGAGGGCCTTCAAGACTGTGATGGATACTTATTCCATAAGCCAGTTAACTGTCTTAACTAGTTCCTAACCTGTATTATCCAAATATATTCTTTTGTCATGTTATGTTCCAATATATCACAAAGAAACGAGAGGCTCTAATCCTGTCAATCACAAGACAATCTTCCGTAAAGTCACCTCTTATCCTTATTTTCTCAAGAGGTTAAGGAATTTTAATCTATTCCTATAAGATCATCCATCCATCCTTGGAATCATCATTGTAGCTCTCTTCTGAGCCCTTTCCAATCACTCAATATCTTTTTATATAGAGATATAATTATGTCTATTTGACTTGTAATCAATGTTTATAAATACACCCTAAAATTCTTTTAACCTCACTATTAGCAACAGGGCACAATTGATTTCTTCTATACAATTCAGTTAACTAGTCTTTCACCAAACCTTACTTATATCAAACATTAAATTATATGTTTAACTTGATAAGTTTTTGAACTAGAAGTATAATAATTCTAGAGGGAGTTTTGAGATCTTTTGTGAAACTTGCAGTATGGCCACTGACTCGGTACCTGTTGAGACAGTATTAACAGAAGACGATGGTGAATTTAACATTCCAGTAGGAAGTCCAACAAACATGAAGGAAAAACTTCCTGAACCGCAGTTCTCGGGAAAAAACTTGCCCCAGTTTTGCACCACTGATTCACACCCTTTAGAAGTGACGTGGAATAGAAACATAGCTCTCTGTAATTCTGGAAATCTTTCCCGTGCTACATCTAGGTAAACTGTAATAAATCTTTTTTTTGTATTGATTAATTCTGGAAAACTTTCCAGTACTACGTCTAGGTAAACTTTATTAAATCTTTTTTTCTGTATTAATTAATTCTGTAAATCTTTCCTGTGCTATGTCTAGGTGAACTTTAATAAACCTTTTTCTTCTTTATTGATTAATTCTGGAAATATTTCCTATGCTACATCTAGGTAAACTTTAATAAAACTTTTTTTTTCTTTATTGATTAATTCTGGAAATATTTCCTATGCTACATCTAGGTAAACTTTAATAAAACTTTTTTTTTCTGTATTGATTAATTCTGGAAATATTTCCTATGCTACATCTTGGTAAACTTTAAGAAAACGTTTGTTTTTTCTGTATTGATTAATTCTGGAAATCTTTCCCATGCGCCATCTAGGTAAAGTTTTTTTTTCTGTATTGATATATAAAAACAATTTTTTTGTAACCTTCAAATTACTGACTTGTTTTAATTCCATTTGGTACTGGTGAGAACAATGTATTCATCATATTGAGTATATTTTGTGTATGTTTGTGTTATAACACTTGTTGTAAAGAAATGATAAATAATCTTGGATGAAATAACTTATTTCTTGTACAAAAAATACCTAGAAAATATGTGATTTAACATAAGATTATTTGAAGTACAGGTAGTGTTTTTGTCAAAAGTTTTCTTTGTGACTCGTACGGAGGTATAAGCTGTTCATATTTTCTTGGAATCATTTCAGTTCATAACCAAATTATACCCTTTAATATCCTTGTTTTCAGAAGAAAAAACAATGACGCCATTGAAATCATAACCATTTAAGCATTTGTTCAGCTGTACTAAGATCACACTTGTCAGTTAGTGTTTTTAATTTGCCTTTGTCTAAGATAACTGGTATCTTATGTAGTTTGCCTGCTGAATGATTAACAGCATTAGGGCTACATATGGTGCAAAATATACGTTCACTGTGGTGAATAAAAACAAGAGGGAGTCGTCAATAGCCATGACACTTTAAATTCTTTTAGGCATGGATTATAGTAAATTAATCTATAAGACTTTGTTTTCCTTTTCATTAGCTAAATTTTTGTAAGCCAGCAATACCATGTGTGTGGCACATGAATACCCAATTCGATTTCTACCAGCCTACCGTCAAATGGAAATTCTTTTAGGCAAGATTACAGTAAATTAATCAGTGAGAATTTGGGCATGGTCAAATACAACGTTAGAAAGTGTTTGACCTCCAGAGTCCAAAACTGTAATTAGAACTCAAATCGGTCAAGAGATGACGGAGCTATGACCTGAAATTTTGTACTTGAAAATCTCGGACCCATTCTATGAGCTGCTATGCAGTGGCCAAAAACAAAAAAGAAAACTCACCAGTCATATATATAGTTCAGCTATAAGAAGCTCAGTAATATTTGATCTTGTCTTTGGTTAATGATATATCTTTGTGACATGTGATGAATGGAAGGATAGATAGGACTTGTTTTTAGTAATTTGACTGATGTCGGCCATGTGGTTAGGGTTAGGTTAGTGTATACTTCTACCGTTGACTTTTGAGGCATAATCTTATTGATGTCGGCCCGACACGCCCAGGTGGTTAGGCCGCTCGACTCGCAATCTGTGGGTCGTGGGTTTGAATTCCCATCACACCGAACATGCTCGCCCTTTCAGCCGTGGGGGCATTATCATGTGACGGTCAATCCCA